TCGGCTGGTGAGGGGAAGTGTGCACTTGCACACGCACACACTCATGGCCACCTGGCCACTGCCTTGCAGGGGTTCCGCATTATCTTCTGCCCAGGGATATTTTAGGGTTCCCTTAGCACTGATGGGACTGTGGCTGGGGTCCTACCTGCCCATCTTAAGAGTGCCTGGAATTGCAGGTAGAGAGTCTGGCTCAGCAGACAACAGTGGCAATGCCCTCTGCCATACCGGCCCTGGAAGAAGACCAGCCCGCCCACTTTGGTCCCGGGGAACTGGAAGGTCTTTTCTTCCCTGAGGAGGAGAAGGAAAAGGAGGATGAAGAAAAGCAGAGAGTAGGTGGTGCCAGAACTCTGGGCCTGGAACCGTAGATCTTCTCACCTCCTTCTGGGGTGTGGAGAGTGGGGAAGCAGCTCCCTCGCCCCAGGCCTAGTTTGTGCCCTCCCCAACAGGATGACAGTCTGCAGAAGTGGCCTGTGTCCAGCCACTGCCTTCACCTGGTCCCCTCCACTCACAGTAAGTCAGGGCCTGGGAGGCAGGGAGTTACTGAGTTGGGCCAAAGCTCCATTAGACCTGGCCACCTGGCCACATTCATTCAGCCCTGTTGTCCCCAAAACCCTTTCCCGGACTGGGCAAGGACCCCCGCGCATCCTCAAGATTGGGGTCCGCTGTGGTCAGTCAGCATGAAGCAAAACCTGAGCATACCAGAGCCCTGACATGGTCTCCACTCGCGCCCCTCCACCCCAAGTCTACCCCCAGGACGCGCATGCTTGGTGGCAGTGGCGCGCGCCGCTCGGGGCCGCGCTCAGCACCACGGACAGCGGCGGCGGGGGGAGGGGCTGGCGGGGGGAGGGGAGCGGGCCGCGTTGCCGGGCCCCTCCCAGCGCCCTGGGCGGGTCCCCCGCCGCCTTAGCGCCGCCACTGCCACCTCCCCAGGCTCTGCTCTCTATGCTCTTCTGGTGCTCTCCCCTCAGGTGCTGCTGAGGAACCAGAGCCCGAGCTGGCGGCTCCTGGAGAGGATGCGGAGCCGCAGGCGGACCCATCTGCTCGCGGCTCTCCGAGCCCCGCCGCTCCCGGGTCCCCGGCCGGCCCGCTGCCTCGCATGGACCTGCCACCCTCCGGGCAGCCTCTGCGCCATCCGACCAGGGCCCGGCCACGGCCCCGGCGCCAGCACCACCACCGCCCGCCGCCTGGGGGCCCCCAGGTGAGCGCCCTCCCCCCACCCCAGAGCGGTGGAATTGGGGGTCGCAGGTGGCCTCACAGATAATGGCAGGGCAGGGAGGTGGGTTGTGAGGAGCTCAAGATCACAAGGTTGTGTGGCCACGTCCTGGCTTCTTCCCTCACCCCAGGCCATTTCCGTGCGGGGTCGTTAGTGGTGGGCTTTCTTAAGGGTGCACCTGGGCGTAGAACTCCGCCTCAGGCTGGCACACTGCGTGGGTGAATGGGCAAGAGAGCGGCCGTCTTATCCAGCATCACTCGGGGTTACTGAAAGACACCGGATCCCGGACTGCAGGGAGTCCTGTGTCTACTACACATCTGGCCAGTGTCCGTGTGGGCAGGCGTATGTGTGCACCGGGGACTGGCCAGGTAGTGGGCACACGGCAGATGGGGAGGGGAAGCTGGTTTGAGGCCCCCCAAGAGGGTCTGACGCAGCAGGCTGTCCTGGGCAGCAGCAGGCCTGGTAGGGTGGAGGATACTGCAGGAAACTGTTTGGAGCCGAGGGGGTGGCAGTTGAGAACGTGTGACCCAGGGGGTGCGTGGGCTCTAGCCTGCTGGTGACCGGGTGGTTCAGATGTGTAGGAGACTCCGTGGGACAAGAATGGGTGTGGGCCGGGTGTGTGTCCAGAGCCAGCTATGGGTGAGGGGTTCTGTGAAATCAGTAGCTCTGCCCACTAGCTGGGCAGGGGGAGACGTTGTGTGTCAGCAGCCCCCTAGGGTCACCTCAGCTCCCAGGTCCTAGAGTTGCCCGAGGCAGACTGTTGGACCAGGGAGGTGGGGAAAAGTCATAGTTGCACTCAGCCCTGACCCCGGACCGTGTGGTGTCCACCAGGTTCCCCCAGCCTTGCCACAGGAAGGGAATGGGCTCAGTGCCCGAGTGGACGAGGGCGTGGAGGAATTCTTCTCCAAAAAGCTGATCCAGCAGGATCGCCTGTGAGTGAGGGGCAGTTGCAGGCGGTGGGAGAGGGTGGGCTGCTCCACGGGCCTTCCTGCTTACTGTTGGCTGTCCCCACAGCTGGGCCCCCGAGGAGGACCCAGCCACCGAGGGCAGCACTACCCCTGTTCCCCGTACACTGCGAAAGAAGCTGGGCACCCTCTTTGCCTTCAAGAAGCCTCGTTCAACGCGGGGGCCACGGCCTGATCTAGAGACCAGCCCTGGGGCAGCTCCCCGCACCCGGAAAACCACCCTTGGGGACCTGCTGCGGCCACCCGCCCGTCCTGGCCGTGGGGAGGAGCCTGGCGGGGCTGAGGGGGGCATCGGCAGCCCTGATGCTGCTCGCAGGAGCCGGCCTCGCTACACTCGAGAGAGCAAGGCCTACTCCATGATACTGCTGCCTGCTGAGGAGGAAGAGGCAGCACTGGGTGCCAGACCCGATAAGGTGAGGCCTGGAGACGGGGTGAGGGCTCTGCCCGAACTGAGGGCACTGGGCTCTTGCCCCACTCCAGCATCTCTGTCCCCAGAGGCGGCCCCTGGAGCGAGGAGACACAGAATTGGCCCCGTCTTTTGAACAGCGAGTACAAGTGATGCTGCAGAGGATCGGTGTGAGCAGAAGCAGTGGGAGCACTGAAGGCAGGAGGAAACAAGTGAGTCGGGAGGGTCAGGAGTACGAAATGAGGGGGCAGGTGACACATGGCTTGTAGCAGGACCAGGAGACTCACAGTTTGCCAGTTCTACCCCTCTTCCACCAAATAGTGATCAGATTCAACTGTTCTTCCCTCTTGGCTTCTGCCCTGGCCCAGGCCACTGGTATCTCTACTTTGGAGCTGGGACAGTCCTTTCTCTGCAGATCTAACAGAGTCTGACCTTGTTACCTACATTTGGAACAGCAAGTCACCCAGGGGCTTCCTCCCAGCCACTGCCTCGACTCCTCACCCTGCCTCAAGGCCCTTACGGGGTCTGAGCCCTGCTCGCTGCTTTCATCTCACTGCTACCGACCCCTGGTTGCGCCTCAGAGCCTCTGCTCACGTTCCTGTCTGGAATGTCTCTCTGACCCACTTCTAGCCCCTCGCCCCCATCCACGGGTTACACTAGGCTCCTCTGCGTCCATCCCTGCATTTTCCTCTCCCGTGGCTCTCCTGCCAATGCAGCTCTAGTCGCCACAGTAGAGAAAGTGAATCAGAAAATGAAGACATCATGTTATCTATGTGTCTGTGTGTGTATATGGATGTCTGTGCTCACTGTCCACCATCCCTGACCGACTCTGAGCTCCAAGACCAGGGCTGGGTTTGCCGCGTTGTTGCCCAGCCCATTCAGTGGCAGTTGTAACAAGAACGAACACAAGAATGAGCCTGGGCTGAGGGTGGTTCAGTGCTGAGAGTCACTTCAGTGCTGTTTCACTTCCCCGTTTCCTACAGAGCAAAGATGGAGAGATCAAGAAGGCTGGCTCCGATGGTAAGTGGGGACCTGGGCCAGGGTGGTACATTTTTTTTGGGGGGAGGAATGTCCTCAGTGATAAGTCCCCAAGGCATTTGCTGTCCCAGGGGATGAGGGGGAGAAGCCAGGTCTTTATTCCCCTCACCCCCACGGTCTGGTGTCTGAGCCCCAAGTCCCACTTGCAGGTGACATTATGGACAGTTCCTCAGAGACCCCTCCCATCTCCATCAAGTCCCGCACCCACTCTGTGTCTGCAGGTGAGTGGGGGCCACTGTGGTGTTGGGGGCCAGGCAGGTCAAGCTCATTCCCAATGCCTGGCCCAGGTCTTGATGGACACCCACCTCCTTACAGACCCCTCATGCAGACCTGGGTCAGGGGGCCAGGGACCTGAGTCCTCTACCTGGAAGACGCTGGGGCAGCAGCTGAATGCAGAGCTTAGAAGCCGTGGTTGGGGCCAACAGGATGGTCCGGGACCTCCTTCCCCTTGTCCCAGCCCCCAAAAAGCCAGTCCCTCCCCAGACAGTCTGGGCCTCCCAGAGGATCCTTGCCTGGGCCCCAGAAATGAAGGTAAATGGGCACCCTCGCCCCCACCCCAATATGGGCTAGGGACCCTGAAGGTGGGAGGCAAGGGCTGGAGCAGGGGCAGCTGTAGGGACTGTACCCTGATACCACGGCCTCCCCCAGATGGCCGGCTGAGGCCGAGGCCTCTCTCACCAGGGCGACGGGCGGCATCTGTGCACGAGGACCAGCTCCGGGCCCCTGTCGGTGAGGGAGGCACTGCCATGTGTGCTTGAGTGTGGGGGAGGGGGGGCCCCAGGTCTCCCTCCATGACTCTGGACCTTGGAGTTGCTACCGGTAGTGTGAGAGGTGAGACACTGGGGAGCCAGAAGCAAGGGTCCGACAGCCCTCTGACCAGTCCAGTTCCACCTCCGAAGGAGTGACCTCTGCCGGGGTGGGAGGACCCGGGGTGGGGAGGAGGAGGCTCTGAAAGCATGCACAGTGTGTCAGCGTGTGCATGCAAGTGTGCGTGTGTGCGCCAGCACACACTGGGGACAGAGGGTTGGGACCCAGTGACAAGCCCTTAACGACCCACCCCACACCTTTCTGTGTCCCTCAGAACGACCCTTACGGCTGCAGCGCTCCCCTGTCCTCAAGCGAAGGCCAAAGCTTGAGGCACCCCCATCACCAAGCCTAGGTAAGAAGGGGCTGGGTCGGCTGTGTGGGCAGCAGGACTAGTCAGCCCAGTTCTGACCTTACTCTCTCTCCCTCTCCTCTGGCAGGACCCGGCCCCGGAGCTGAACCCCGGCTCCCACAGTACACAGAGACCGCCAGCCCCGCACAGAACCCACCCTCCCCAGTCACAGACCAAAGAGGCGGCGGCCCCAACCCCTGACCTTCTCCTTTCTTGCCGCATGAGATTATTTTATTAAAAAACTCGAAGCAGAGTGTGAAGTGCTGTTTGTCCATCCCCAGGCACAGACCACAATCTCCCATGTGGTCACGTGGCCCCTCACACCTGGGTGTGCTCAGATTCTGGCTTCGGCTCCATCAGAAAGTGCAAGGCCCAGGCCAGGAACTGCGAAGGGAGCCTGGGAAGAGAACCAAAGCTGTAGGTCAAGGAAGACTGGGACTAATGACCAAGAGAGCGGGGCTGCCCCAGGGGCTTACCTGGCAGCCTGGACCTGGGCACAGAGGGAAGTGCAGGGTGGGTCGTACTCATACTGGAACGCAGAGCCATCGAGATGCTTCTTTGGGGGACCCTGAAGAGGATGCGGTATCTGCAGAGGGGCCAACAAGGACCCCTAACCCCATCCAAGGCTACCTCAGCCCCTCTCCCAGCTCTATCTGAGGCCCACCTTGTCCTACCCTCCAGTTGTAGGGGGACTGTGCTCACCCAGACAAGACTGGACTCCAGGGCTCCCTCGGTGGTGCTTTTCCTTGGAGAATGCTGCTGATTCTTGGGGGGCAACCCTAGCTCCTTGAACTCTAGTTTAGACTTCTGGGGCCTGGTCACATGGGATGGGGCCTGGTCATATAGACTGGGGATGTGACCAACATGTGACAGACTTGCAGTACAACTCAGGAGCGGGGAGTTGGATACGTGGCTTGGGTGTGAGGAACTAGAGGGTTGGGGGCCAGGGGCTGAGCAGATGGCTGGTGGGGGCTGGGAGCTGGCCTTCTGCCCTGTGTCTGGAGCAGCCAAGGACAGAGCAGGCATAAGGCTGACGCTGGCACCACTTTCCTCTGGCGACATGTGGCTGGGTAAGGCAGGGGTTCCTGGGGAGGAGGGGACTCACTGTGGGCACAGCCCTCTCAGTTCAGACTGAGTGGCCTGTGACCTTAGGCAGGCCTGTAGGGACCATGTTCATCCCTTGCATAGCATCCTGCATGACCTGGGCAGTGTGTGAGTGTGGCTTCAGCAACACCTTACCTGAGGAATTGAGTGAGGAGGAAGATGAGGTCAAGATCAGTGACAGATCCTGAAGGACCGGGTCTGGTGGGGGCAGCTCAGGGCCTGGGGGTCAGAAAAGGGTTATTAGCGTCGTGGGCATCAAGCCCCCAGATATTCCCCTCTGGACCTCTTCAGCCCTCCTTACCCTGTGTCCTCTGACCTGGGCCTAGAGAGTTCAGAATTTGTTGGTCATTCTCAGAGATGTGCAGCCATTGGCTGGGGACAGTGTATACAGCTTCTCCCTGTGGAAGTGAACTGTCAGCCTGGCCCTTGCCCAACTCCTCACTCTGACATTTCCCAAGGGCAGCCCCAAACTGACCATGGCTAAGTGACTGGAGGCGGCGGCCCAGCGGGTGAGCGGGGGCGTTGTGCAAGGGCCTGACAGCATCAGACAGCTCTCAGCCAGGCGCACTAGTGCCCCTTGATGCTCCTGTTCCTCCTGCACCTCATCCAGAAGTTGGGACAGTGAAAGGCCTGGGGTCAGAGGGGCAGAGGCCAGGCTGGAGCTCAAGGAGGAGGAAGGGTAGGGTGGATGGGAAAGGGCTTATTAAAGGAGCAGGAGGTGATGGCTGGAGAGTCATCTATAGCTGGTGGTGGCTACAGAGAGTTAGGGTCAACCCTACAAGTACCTGCATTGGAGGAGGTGGACTCTGAAAGGTGCTCCCTATGGAAACAGAGGGGACAGGCCTCAGGGACAATCCTGAGGCCTGTCAATGCATTTGCTACCGCTGATCCAGCCACACCTGGTGGGAGTCCAACCCCAGACTCACTTCAGGCAGTCTTTGAGCTTTCTCTGCACATCTGGGTCCTGGTTGCTAGGACAAAGATGGTGATAAGCAGGCAATGTTACTTGGGGTCCAAGTCCTCCCACCCAAAAGGCTTAAGCCAGTGTCAGCCAGGCCCAGGTGGAGAGAACAGCTGGGGAGTGGAGGTATCACTTACCAACTAGTCACCCAATCCCGGGGCTGCTCCGTGGGCATTAGGCTGAAGCGATGCACCTGGAGGTAGAACTCGGTGGGCTGGAGGGGTGAGTTCAGAAATGGGTCTCAGGTGTTCTCAAAAAGACTCAGGCCCAGTAACCCATCCAAACCAGCCTTACCACTCACCGTGCCACCCTCGGCCACTTGGATTTGGACCTCGCAGTCTTGCAGCAGCAGCAGTCGGCCTTCAGCCTCTCGGAAACCAAATTCCTTTTCTTCCCTGTGGAGAGCAGGACGCTCACAACCTAGACTTCGGGAACACGGCCCCGCCTGCCTGGGGCCTACCTACATCAGGCTTGAGCCTAGAGCTCCCCGCTGGTTTCAGATCTATGGCCTGCGGCACCTTTCTCACCAGTCCGAGGCATTCAGGACTTCCTGCGTCATCAGGCATCGGACACTGTGGGTCCCGTCGGACACAAGCAGCAAGGCCCCGACATCAGAGGTGTCAGGGGCGCGGGACGGGCCTGGGGTCTCGGCCTCCTGCAGCACCTGAGGACAGAGACCTCAATCCCACCACCCTGGGGTCCCACCCTGGTCTCCGGGCCCTGAGGGGGTGGGGAGTACCTACCTGGAGCAGCTGCCCCACCCGTGGACTTGAGAGTCTCTCTGACCCCAGGACCAGATCTCGAATCCAGGGTCGAAGGACCACGCTCCTCAAACCTGCCATTCCCGCAGCTGGGTTTAGAGGAACACCTCTAATCCGGGTTTCCCGCTGGCGCCGTGGCTCCGCCTGTTGTCGGAAGAGGAAGCGCATAACTGCTGGGCGGGACCTGAGAGCGAGTCTCCGCCCACGTGCTCACGAACGCATACTGATTGGTAACTTGTGTGCAGACTCCTGCTAGGTGTCTGCAGGGTTGCTGGCTTACTTGTTCTTAGCTCTCCAAACAGAGGCGCATCTCTTGGACGTTCATCAAAGCTACCTTGGCATGAGACAGGAAGGGGCCAAGGGCTGGCGCAGATGGAGAGGGAGGAATTTGGAGCCTGAGGTTGCGGGCTAGGGTAGTCCGAGCGCATTGGCTCAAAGCCACTTCAACGCCGTGTGACCCCGAAGGATTCAGCAAATATTATAACTCCGTTTTCTCATCTACAAAGTGCGCAGTCCTGTAAGGCTAGGAGAAATAGTAGATAGCACTCAATAAATACCACTTCCCATCACTCTGCCCTTGGATTGGCCGATTCCTACCCCCAGGCTACAGGAACGCGCTGACCGTAGCGTAATGACGCAAGAGCACACGACGACGTCTTCATCCCCCCCCCAATCCCCGTTTCCTAGGAAACGTGGACTCCGCGTGCCACTCTCCGTAGTTGGCTCCTTGACGTCATGGTCTGGAGGAGAGGACCCGGCCAGGGCTACCGCCAGGGGCGGGGTGGAGCGGGCCGGCCAGGCGGCCGGGCTATGCACCTGCGCCTCCGTGGGCCGCCTGGGGCACAGTCCGCCGCTCGCTCGGCCCCGCTATGGCCAGGCCACAGAGGACGCCGGCGCGCAGTCCCGACAGCATCGTGGAGGTGAAGAGCAAAGTAAGGGCCCCTCCAGTCCCGGCTCCGGTACTAGGTGCTTCCAATTCCCTCATTCTCCCCTTCCTGGCTCCTTAGCCCCACTACCTTTTTCTTTCCTCTATCCTCCATGTCCCATTCCTTGGCTTTTCTTCTCATTTTTCCCCACACCCAGCCTCTTTCCTTCCCTCCGGCCTCTAGAATCGCTCTGTGGCCTGGGTTACCTGGAGGGCTGGGAGAAGACCTTGGACAGCGTCCCCTGTGCTGGGGCTGAGGTCTGGTCTCAAGTCTGCAGTTGTTGCGGCAGCCCGCTTTCCCACCCCTGCCACCCTCGGACCTGTGGTGAAAAAGGACTCAGGCTCCGTCCTGACCCCTCCTCTTTCCCCCACTCCCTGCCTCCAGTTTGACGCCGAGTTCCGACGCTTCGCACTGCCCCGCGCTTCCGTGAGCGGCTTCCAAGAGTTCTCGAGGTTACTGCGTGCGGTGCATCAGATCCCTGGCCTGGATGTGCTGCTTGGCTATACAGATGCTCACGGCGACCTACTGCCCCTTACCAACGATGACAGCCTGCACAGGGCCCTGGCCAGCGTGCCCCCGCCGCTGCGCCTGCTGGTGCAGAAACGGGGTGAGAATGGGGTACAGTGGGCAGCCTCTGGAGGGTAGGGTGACAGGGCAGGTCATGCCCAGGGTACCCAGGCTTTACCCTTTGCATACCTGCCCTTGGCCTGACCTCCAAGTGGTAGGAAATAGCTGCAGTGTCCCCTTCCCCCAGCCTGGTCCTGATGGAAAAGGGCAAATGGGAGAGAAGGGTCTCTAATCTAAGCGCCTCTCTCTCCTACAGCAGAAGCTGACTCTGGCAGCCTGGTCTTTGCCTCCAACTCTCTGCAGCGGCGTAAGAAAGGTCTTCTACTTCGGCCAGTGGCACCTCTGCGCACCCGGCCACCCCTCTTAATCAGCCTGCCCCAAGATTTCCGCCAGGTTTCTTCAGTCATAGATGTGGATCTACTGCCCGAGACACACCGACGGGTGCGGCTGCACAAGCACGGCTCTGACCGTCCCCTAGGTTTCTATATCCGAGATGGCATGAGTGTGCGTGTAGCTCCTCAGGGCCTGGAACGGGTCCCGGGCATCTTCATCTCTCGTTTAGTACGAGGGGGCCTGGCTGAGAGTACGGGGCTCCTGGCAGTCAGTGATGAAATCCTCGAAGTCAATGGCATTGAGGTGGCTGGGAAGACCTTGGACCAAGTGACAGACATGATGGTCGCCAACAGCCACAACCTCATTGTCACTGTCAAGCCAGCCAATCAGCACAATAATGTGGTGCGCGGAGCATCTGGGCATCTGAGAGGGCCTCCCTCTGCTGGGCTTGGGGCTGCCGAGCCTGATAGTGATGATGACAGTAGCGATCTGGCCATTGGGAACCGCCAGCCTCCCTGTTCCAATGGGCTGTCTCAGGGGCCTCCACGCTGGGACCTGCACTCAGATCGCCTACTTCCCAGTGCCTGCGGCTCTCTGCCATCCCTAGATGATCAGGAGCAAGCCAGCTCTGGCTGGGGAAGTAGCACACGAGGAGATGGTAGTGGCTTCAGCCTTTGACACAGCGTCTCGCCACTCCAGGGGACTTCCCCAGTGGGGTTTTAGCTTGCTCACAGGGCCCTCTCAGTCTGGGGAGCATTAAAGGTTTTCTACAAATGCAGTTATGGTCCTTTTGTGTCCCAGCTCCAGCTTCTCCCCTGATCCCACAGTCTTGCCTTCTGCCCTTCATGGGAGGCAGAGGTAACGAGGCAGCGGAGACATCCCTGCAGTTGAACAGCAGGAGGGCCACCAGGCTTGGAAATTTTAGTGTAAGAAAAGCTCTATGGAAAGAAACCCCTCTGTGTACAAAAAGTTTAATTTTGACAAAGGAATAAAGAGGTTGGGCTAGGATGTCCCTTCTCCAGCTACCAGTGGCTAGGAAAGTGCTCTGGGGATATGACCACCAACTGCTCCTGTCTCTGGACTCTATGATGGGGCCTGATCCTGTCCTTTGTGACCATGCAGCAGTCCTCAACAAGGACCCCCATCACTACCCCTATAAATGGGCTCAAGCATCCATCTTTATGAAGACCTTGGGGCGGGAAAAGATCTTGATGGCCTCCTCTACCTGCACCAGCTTCCGATCCAGCTCAGCACGGTGACTTTGGGCCCTCAGGGAGTCTGCCCTGGCGGGCAGTAGCACCAGCTCACGCAGCAGCTGGCTCTGGCCTACAGGGGGCCCAGGAACAGTTAGCGTAAGGCAGGGGTGCATGGTCCCCAGTGGGTTCCCCATCCAGTCCCCCTTGCCCACATACTCACTCTGGAGTAGATTGCTCAGGGTCTCCAGCCGCTGGTTCTCAGGCATGCGAGTGTGGCCAGGGGGCATGGCAGGGTCTGGCTGGCTCCGTTGGCGGGCCTCGGCCTCCTGTCGCCACAGATCCCTACGCTCCAACAAGCTGTGGATGTACAGGCTCAGGGTTGATGATCCCAGGGCAGATGTTGGCTCCCACCTACCACACGTACCTGTCACCCTGGGTGTTGGGCAGTGGGACCTACTAATGAGGCACGTGGCCCTTCTGTGTGGTGTTGTAGTGCTCCTGGGCTTGTCGCTGCTGCTCCAGCACCTGTGCCAGGATCTGCATCGAGCGGGAATGCCGCCGGGGGGCCCTCTTGGCAGTGCGGGCATTGTGGCTAATGAAGTCCACACCCAGACCTGGCACCTACAGGACATGGCAAGCATGATGGGCAGACAGCACTGTGTTGTGCTCCTAAACCCCCAGGATCCTTGCCCCACCTCCCAGCTTACACATACTTGCATCTTGACATTGGGATCTGATGGGGTTGGCTGGGGACTGGGGACACGGGGAGGTGGGAGCCCAGGGCCGCAGCGAGAGTGTGCCCGCAGGAAGTGTGCTGTCTCTGTCCCAGAAGCAGGACCAGGCTCCTGAAGGGCAGGGCATAGAAGAGGGATCAGTCAGGCTGTGGTCAAGGCCTTAAGACCTGTCTCTCTCTAGCCTTATGCTCCTCCTCCCTCTTGAAGGAGCGTTTCTTATCAGCATCAGAACACGTGTGTCTCTCATATCCTTAACGACAAACCACTGCTTCTACCTCAGTCTTGGACCTAGTTACCGTTTTCTTTTTCTCTCCTTCCTAGCCAAAATTCCTGGATCTGCCCCTCTCAAGGTCATTGACAGCTGGCCTCAAGCCCTTAAATCCAGGGTCACTTCCCTGGTCTCATTATCCTCAGCTTGATCCTCAATAACTCCTAGGTCTCACTCCTGAGATCCAGACCCGACTCTCGGTCTGCTTCCTGGACACACTCCCATTCCCTGGTAGTCCCACAAATGCTTCAGTTTTAACACATCCACATATGAACTTACTGTCTTTTCTCTCAACCTGCACTTCCTTCTGAGACCCTTTGATAGAGGAACGGTGCCCCCATCTAGTCAAGACAGAATCCCACCACCATACATACCCCTGTTCCTGACCTTCCCACTGTCCTTAGAAATAAAGGTTGAAAAGTGGGTTATGTGGTCCTTTATGATATGGGTCCCGCTGACTTCTTAGCCTAACCGCATGCTTCTCACCCCTCACAGTAAACTGTACACAGTATCCCCACTGCCCACACTCCCTCCGATCTTAGGATTTCTGTCTGTGAGGTTTCATCTCTACAGAATGTTCTCTTCCACTCTCCCCTTGCCTAATTCCTACTTGCCCCTCAGGACCACCCAGCCACCACCACTTCTGAGAAGCCCCTGCAGCAGAACCAGCTCTCTTTTTAGTCTCCCACTGCCTTAGTCTCCTGTGATTTTCCTCTCTCCCCATAAGTCAGATCAGGGTATAATTCGCCTCTTAGTAGATTAAGACAGACAATACTTCCAGCCCCCTGAGGCAGGTACCTGCAGTTGGGCCTTGACCCGGGACTGAACTTTGTCGTATTTGGGAGAGCGCCACAGAGCCTTCAGGGGCCTGGGCTGGCCGTGTTCCCGGCTGCGCTCCTGCTCGCGGAAGCGCTTCTGGATCTCCTTGATCCTCCTCAGGTTCTCCTTCTCATGGTCTTTAGGGTCCTTCCCTGGGAAAAAGATGTTGCCAGGCTCTGCCCTACATACAGCCCATGAAATCCAACTCCCACCAGGTCACATACAGGCCCCACCTCGCTGACTGAGACCCTGTACAGGTTCTCCATCCTGTTTCCCTCCTGACGTGGTAATTATCTTCTACCTCTGATATTTTCTACATTTGTATCATGGAGTTTATCATTAATCATCTTGTATATAATATTCATCTCACTTGCTTATTGTCTCCCACGTGTCTGTCTTCAACCTGGCCTGTTTTCATAGTGCATGCTGGGCCTGGCACAGAGCAGGCACTAAACAACGTTTCATTGATGCCCGAATTCATGAAGATGAGCTGGGGTTTCCTGGGGACTACTTTGTTCAGTTCTCTTCTGCGGAAAGGTAGTGCTTCCCCTTCACCCGCCTTTTATAGTTGGGGAAAGTGACACTTAGTAAAGCCTGAGCCCAGCCCAGGGCAGGAGGAGCAGGAGTTTTTTATTTCAGCTTTTGATCTCAGATTTGCTTCGCTGCCCCTCCTGCCTGGAACTTACTTTTGGGAGAGGCCCCTGGGCCTAGGGAGATACCCCCAAGTTGCAGCAGCACGCCCCCCACACCGCATCGGCCACGTTCTAGGATCTGTCTGGCTCCAGGACGTATGCGGGGGCCGCGGGGAGGGGTGGCGTCCAAGTCTGGGTCCGAGGTCAGCAAGTCCAGCTTCAGCGCGTTCCCCTCAAGGCGCCCTTGGGCTGAGGGGTTGGACGGGGTGTAGTGCAGGGGTCAGTGATGGAGTGGAACCCAAGCCTCACTCTGGCCTCGCTGGGCCATGGCACCCCCCAACTCACCCGAGGCGGGCCTCCGGTAGTAGTCAGGACAGAGCGTAGGGTCTGGGGGGATGGGCCCCGAAATGCGGGATGGGCCCTCGCACATGCCGCTGCCGTCTCCCTGTAACGGTGCAACAAGGCCTGCCAGGCTGCTTATCTGGAGGCAGGGACCTCCTTCCTGAGCCTCTTAGCTACTCCCTGGACCGGACTTTGACCCCGGCAGCCCTCCATTCCCTTCCCGGGCTTGCACTAGCCGCCTCCACTCCTAGCCCACTTCTCCGACCCGTTCGCAGCCCCTCCCCCTCAACAACCAGGCAAGGGGCTCACCAGAGCAGGGTTTTGCAGCTTGCAGCTGCTACCCGACGGGTTTGCTGTTGCTAAGCAACAATAGTTTCCGTCTCTGAGTTCAAGGGCCAAAACCCTTGGCGCAAAGCTTTCTGGGGTTTGTAGTTCCAAGTGAGGGTGGAACTGAGCGGTCGCCAGCCCTCATCCCATCCCGGTTCTTGCCCCCCGATCAGTCTCCCGGGTACACCTGTCCCACCCCTCGGGATCGTCTTCGCCTTCCCCCACCCCAGTCTCCCAGCAACCGTCGAGGAGGTGCTGACTCCGAGCAGCCATGGACTCAATGGGGACTGAGAGGAGACCTGGGGTCCAAGAGGGGCCGGCCGAGGGGACTGCACAGTTCACAGAGGAACCCGGTGATCACGCTCAAAGCTCTGAGGTGACTACCAGGGCTATCTAGTCTTTAAACCCGTGGCCTCGGCGCTTTCGAAGGCCAAACTCTGTGCGTTGAACCCCTAACTGCCAAGACAGGCTTCACAGTGGGGCAGGGGCTTGGGCTGGTGCCCTTCACCTGCATTTGGTGTCTAATGTTAGGTGTCTAAAAGGACTAATCCCATAGCCTTTGCCTGACTGTGATGACCAGTTACCTATGTGTTACCTCTAGTGTCCAGTAATGAGAAGCCAGGGCCTGGTGTCTGCCCATGAGGCCGGTGGGACCCAGGGTGAGGACAAGTGTCCAACAGGACCAGTCTCAGAGCCAGAGCTCCAGGAGGAACGAGTCAAGCTGGAAGAAGAGAGTCTCAAGCCAGAGGTGGAGGCACCAGAGGAGAAAAGCTCCAGACCTGTGACTTCTGTTGTGAGGTCCAGCCACGGTCCGAAGAGAAAGCCTGTCAAGTGAGCAGGCTTTCTGAGGAAAGGAGCAGCTGGGCTGCTGGGGCAGGGGGTGGGGGAGGTGTCACACCCCAATAGGATTCTGGACTCCTGCACGCCTGTAGGGTGTGTCCGTAGCCCCTGCCATCGCCACCACCAATCCTCATCTTAAGAGTCTCAAAGGCCCCATAGGGGACTGAGCTCCCATGAGCTTTAAGACTTGTCCAGCCTGGGGGCCTCAGTGACCAGGAAAGGGACAAGAACTGGGCTTGGGGTGGTGGGCATGTGGGCCATTCTCTAGGCTCAGAATACAGGAGACAAGGCTGGAGGCTGCCTCCTCAGGCCTCCTGTCTCCCAGCTCCCCAGGGCCTACTCACCAAGCCCATCAACCTAAGGCTGAAGCTGAGCTGTCCCAGGGGCTGCCACTGCAGAGGGAGGACCTGGAGGGTAGCCAGAGTGAGCCCTCACCATCTGCCAAACAGCACAAAAAAGCCAAGAAACGCAAGAGTCTGGGGGCCCCAGTGCTCCCAACTGTGGCCAACACAGCGTCCGCATCGTCAGAGACCTTGGGGCTGGAGCGTGAGTGGTAATCCCTGGGCCTTCCATTCTCCGCCCCAACCCCCACCCCCTGCCCCGGACCTGGCACAGCTTGGCACTCCAGCCCCTTCTCTGCCCTGGGCCCTTGCAGGAAAAGCCCAGCGCCTACGGCCCCTGTACCAGTACATCAACTACTGCAACCCTGAGCTGAACGAGGCAGGGGAAGGGGATAGGGAGGCTGAGGTCGAGGTGGAACCTCAGTCGGAGCTGACCCTGGTCCCCGAGGAGGCCTGTCTGGAGCAACTGCCAGCTTTGCTGCCTGTGGCAGGTGAGCTGGGCTCAGGTCTCTCTTTGCCCTGCCCCAATATGCTCATGTCTCCCATCCATGCTCTGGTTCCCCATGGAGAGGAGGCTGGAGAGGAGCCTGGGGGTTTGCCCAGCTTGGGGGTCAGTGGCTTACTCAAGACTGAGATGGATAAGTCAACTCAAGTGGACATCAACAAGATGCTAAGTGTCTGTGCTGCCCCACTTGTACCCCCACTCTCTCCTCAGTACAAGTGACTGTCCCACCCCATGGGTGGCTCCTCTCCTCCGAAGCCTGAACCAAAGAAGCTTCTGGGCTTCGGTCCTCAGGTAGAAGGGGGAATTTGGGCCCTGCCCCCACTTGGAACCTTGGACTTGCTGAAAATAAATGTTTTTCCTTTTCTCAGACTTTGACTCCCCAAATAAGATGCCTGAAGAGGGAGAGCCTGGGAAGAAGGGTGGAGGATTCCCAGTGCAGGGTCTGAAGCCTGACTGGCCATCTGGATCACCCAGGAGTTCCTCTGTGACAAAAGTAGCGATTCTTGAGCACTGCCTCAGATCTAACTGAATCAGTCTGCAGGGTGGGACCTACCTGCATTTAAAGGCTCCTCAAATAAACCCGAAGATCAGACAAGAGAGTGGTGAAGATGAAAAGGGAGGTGACTAGGAACTTGGCAGCAGAGAAAGGGACTGTCAGGTCATGAAGCGGGTGTGTGTACCAGGGAAGGGGCTTGCATTCGGTCTGGCCTTGAGGGGACCAACAATTGGGATACTATCCCGCAGAGGTGGCAAAGTTCATCTGCCTGCCCCAAACCTGGCAACGTTGGAAGGCTTTATTTTTAGGCCACGGCTGGACCAGACTTTGCCCCAGAGTGGCCCCTGATGACAGAGGATTGATGCCTTTTTCCTGGCAGGAAAGGGATGGTGGCTGAGGCAAAGGATGGTGGTTGAGGTGAATGGTCTCCATGGAGTCTTGCAGCCAAACCACCAGGTGACTGTTGCTTCTCACCTGCAGGCCTCTCTGGGAGGTGGCGGCCAGTGCTGGCCGTTTTGGAATCCCTCATATTCTGCTGCTTCTGGGTCTTCCTGTGTGTCCCTCTGGCACCATACACACAGGGACTTTCAAATTAAATGAGTAATTTCTCCTCCCTCCAACCTGCTTTCCCTCCTGTGCCTCACCTACAGTCGTTCAATCACAAATCCTGGGGGTCACTACAGACCCCCCTCCCACTCGTGGCTCACTGACTTCTACAAGCTGATCAGGCATCAAGGACGGTGATTTGGCTGCACACCCCCCGAACCCAATGGCATTGCTCCCCTCTAGGCTCTGCTCCTCTTACCTCAGCTGCCTTGTAACTTTTCAGCAGTTTCCTCTCACTCCCTGACTAGTATACTTTCTCCTAATTTCACTCCCTGCACATGAGGTTTCCACAGCCTAAAATGCCTTTATTCCTTCACTGGGCTGGTGCACACGGACCCCTGAGGACTCGAGGCACCTTGTTTCGGGGCAAGCCCGTGCTGCCCTGCATTGTAGTGCCCACACTCTGCTGTCCTTGTGGTTACTAACCGTCTGCAGGACTAGACTGTGAATTCCCCAGGGGCCTTGGTCTTCACATCACAGCCACCCAGCAGAGAGCCTCCATGAAAGGCACCTGGATAAGGAGACCAGGGTGAGGAGCTGAGGAAGGTACAGAGGGGCAGGTCAGGATCTGAAAAGCTGCAGCTGTCCAAAGAGCACACAGCTGTGTGCGGGACCCCTGGAGTGGCGGCCTGGCAGGGTCACTGAAGGGCATGGGGTGGAAGCAGGAAGAAAATGGGCATCGTGTGAGACTGCTCCCTCCTGTAGGGATCACTTGGAGGCTCACTGGCCCCAGGGCCACAGGACAAGCCACAGGGTCAGGATATTTATTCTTTCTGCCCATGCTTTTCCCTGGGTAGTAATCTGACCACCCCAGGAAATACTGTCCACAGGGACCACGCTGACTACTGATACCAAAGGGGTGAACATAATTCTCCAGGACTTTTCAGAAGTAGAGGGCCCTTCAAGATAACTGAGTCTGACATCCTCACTTTATGGTTGAGGAGGTAGAGGTGTGGAGACAAATGGCCTTGCACGAGGCCCCACCCTTTCCTGAGCCCTGCAGATCTGAGGGTCCTTCAGCTCTCTGGCTAAGGCCTGACCCAAGAAGGCCAAGCATCTGCTTTCTCTGTGTGGTTTCCGGGGCTGGAGGTGTGGACCAGGCTGGCATTGACAAGGGAGCTCTGTTCCCATCTTCCAACAGGTAATGTAGAGAACAGGTAATGGAAGACATAGTACCCATAGAAGAAAACCCATCCACGTATCCTGAGGCCCATTACCTGACAAGGTTGTCTAAGCAGAGTGGGTAACAGTAACCACAGAAAGGAACAAGCCATACTACTCCTAGGAGCTCATTCTAAGGGGGAAATGCAGAAGCAGCATGGTGCCGACATGCTATGGAAGGGGGATCCAGACTGCGAGACCACAGTAGTGACTGTCACCATGCCTAGGAGAGTGTGACGAGGCAGCCCTCCAGCTGATTCCTGGCGAGCTGGTGGCCTTCCAGGCAAAGGATATGCCAGGGACGAAGCCTTGCTAGTATGGAAGATGTCAGCCCCAGGCAGGAGGGCCAGTTGGCATGGCTGGAGCAGACGCACAGCCACCAGGTGATGGGGTTGGCTGAACCTGGAAGTGGTGAGGAGTGTGGTCAGGGAGGGATCTGGCCTGACACTGTGCAGAGCTCCGCTGGGCAGCAGTGTGAAGGTCAGAATGAGAAACGGAGAGACTGTGGACACTGAGGTGAGGAGGCTGCTGTTTGTCCGGGTACGAGGCCCAGATTTGGCTGGGATTGTAAAATAAGCAACAGGTATTTTGGAAATTCTCTTCTTGTTGCTGTAACAGAGAGGAAAAGTTGACTGCACTTTCACTAGCTGGAAAAACTTGATTTACTTTGACCCGGGGAAGATGCTGCTGAGGTTTGGGACACAGGTCCTGGGAGGTGATGCTGCCTTCCTCCAGGAGGGGGCAGTGCAGGACAAGCCTGGAACAGTTGCAGGCTCAGTTACCCCTGGGGACCAACACTGCGGGCTCCCTTGGCCACAGGCATCTGAGCCACTCTGAGGCACATCTCTTCCCTGGGACCAACCCAAGAGATACACGACAGTAAAGATGTCTAAGGACCTGGACTGTGGGGAGTGCCGAGAGGGGACCTCAGTCACCCCTGGGTCCTCATGAAAGTGGCTCTGCACTAAGTCCACTGTAGTCTGCCCCAGGACTTCTGGGAATACATCTTGGTAAACAAGGGGTTTGCTGCAGAGCTCTACCAAACCTATGCAGTGCCACCGTGCGAGTCAGCAACGCGGCCCTTTCTACAGTAGCAGCGCCTGAATCGAGCAGAATAACATGCAAGCGCTTTCTCAGTCAATCCCCACATTCAGGAGGGACCTCCACATCCTAGTAACAGGCAGAGGGACTGACCTGGAGCCGAGCTGAGGGGCCCTAGGAGGCATGGGGCAGCTTCTCCAACTCTGCCGCGTCCTGACTGCTGGGGCTCTCTCTGCCGTCCACCTCCCAGTTCAGGCCAGGCTGAGATTCCTGCTGCAGGGAGGAGGCACTGACCTGGATGGGGAACTAAGTGAGGAGGGGCAGTGTCTGCGCACTTGGAGTCTGAGGAGCCACGAGTGCTGGGGAAAGAGTAGTTCAGGGTCAGGCTCCGTAGTCAAATGACCCTGACAGGCACCTGACTGTCACTTACAACTTGCAGGAGGGAAGTAACTTGTACTCTTCTCTGCCTCAGTTTCCTGAACAGGGCAATGTTAATACTAGTGTCTCATAGAATGACTTGGATATTAAATAATACACACAATACACATAAAATGTCTACCCCAGGGGGCCCAGTGTGCAAAAAGCATGCTCCAACACTAGTCATTGTTATTTTACCTTATGAAGACAAGGCATGAAACCAGAACAGTAATGGGAAAACTGGCCTGGTGATGTTCACAAGGGGCACCAAGAGGAAGAAGGGGACCTCCTTGAGTCTTTCTCTTCCTGGCAAGGCACACGGGGCAGGGCAGAGAGGGGAAAAGTTTGGTCTAGGCTTGATCCTGGCAGGCTGGCAGTGGAACAAAGGGTTGGAACATGTCCTCGCCACCACCCCACCCCTCCCCGCTCTGACCGACAGGGCTATAAGGCTGAACGCACGGCTGAGGACTGGCTTGGCCGGGCCAGTCCGTGTTTGGCCACATCCACCCCAAAGGGAAGTGTGTGGGGCCTTCCCCCTCAAGTTTGCCCCGTCCAGCCTCCTTGGAGCCACCCCTCACTTTCCCTCTCCCAGGGCTCCCCTGGAGCCAAACGCACAGTTTTAAGAACAGAACCCCTCCTGGCCTGCAGCCCAAAGAGGCTCCAAACTCTCCCACTCTCTCCCTGGACTGGCAGGCGCAATGGGCCCCCATCAGGAACCTGTTTTTTGAGGGAAGACTTTCTCTGGAGGGCTCCTGGGGTCCGGTGCCGAGGGGGGAAGCTGGGAGCTGAGGGCAGGTGGTGGCGGGAGCCTGAGTGGCCCACCAGTGATGGGTCTGGAGAGCGGAGCTGCTGTGGAGCCACTGGGAAAGGGGAAAACACAAATAATCTACAGCGATAAACAAGCCTTTCATTATTAAAGAAACCAAACCTACCAAATAGCCACCAACCATGTGCACTGTGTCCAAGTTTGATTTATTTATTAACATCTATCAGATGTTCCAGAGCTGTCCCTTGTCTCCTCTCTGGCAAATCAGGGGCCCTCTGCTCTAGTCAACGGCCCCCCAAGAACTCCTGTACTGGAGAACCCATCCTCCCTGCCGGGGAAGGGGCAGCCCGAAAGCTGGAAGGGCTTGGTCACTCGAGAGGGAGGGCAGGTACAGCTCCCTGAGGCTCGGTAACTTGTCATCTTGTCTTGGGCCCTGAGACGCCCTGGGCCCAAGTGGGGCATGGAAACAAGGCTTCTCGTCTCTCCTCCGGCCTCAGCAATCAGCCAAACTGGCTCCTCACTGTGCTCTCATCCAGCCAGGACCACAAACAGGCTGAAGAAGCCCCCTAGCCAAGCTCTGCTGGCCCCCAGAGACCTGGTGGCAGCTCCACCTCTCACTCCTTGTGCTAGGCCACTCGGCCACGGCAACAGGAACATTACTGCCCTGCAAGTCTGAGGAGGGGGCGAGGACGGAGGGGGCGTTTTACTGGGGCCACCTTGGGCTCCACCTAGGGCTCCCCCTAGAAGGGTCAAGGTGAAGCCCAAGCTGATTTGTTAAATAAGAGACACTGTCAATGCTCTAGCCAAGACCTCCCACCTCGCTCCTGGTCCCTCCCTGGCCACTCTGCCCCACGGCAGGGAGCCCACGAGCACATTCACAGGTTATTCCGCTGGAGAGCCTCACATAGGTTCTGGTTGGCATCAGGTTCCTCCGTCAGCACCTCCACAGCTTCCCACTCCCCGGATCGGCTGGACCTTTTGATGGCGTCCACCACACTCTGCATATACAGCCCATCCTCAAATGAGGCAGCCATGGAGAGAGGGGTGTGGTCCCATGTGCGGCGGTCGCCCTGCCCCTGGAAGGACTGGCGCAGGGCCTGCACCATGTAGACCATGCCCTTCAGGTAGAGCAGCGGGACATCCTGGGGCCCCTGCTCAGGCAGCCCTGCGTCCACAGCCAACGAATCCCTCAGGAGCAGCTCCTCCTGCGGGGCAGAGTTCTTCTGCCCATAGAGGTCAGCTCCCCGGGCAACAAGGCGGCCTGCAGAGCCTACTACCATGACCTCGTGCACAAAAGCACCCGGCATGTTGAAGTTGAGCGTTACCGTGCTGCACACCCCCCCGCCCATGAGCATCTGGAAGAAACAGAAGTCATCGCTGGTGACGTGCCGGATACCACGAATGGCTGCATTCTGCCTCACAAAGGTCTTGAGGAGCCCATGGACCTTCTCTGCTCTCCGGCCGGTCAGGTGGGTCAGCAGGTCCACAATGTAGGTGCCCATGGTGTGCAGGCCCCCACCGCCCATAAGCTCGTCACAGATCCAGCCATAGTTGGGGCTGAGCAGGCTGCCTGAGTAGATGCGGGCGTCGCAAATCATCACTGCACCCACGTAGTGCTCGGCGATCAGCTGCTTCATGCGCACGAAGGCAGGCAGGAAGCGCAACACGTTCCCTACCAGGCTCATCAGCTGTGGGTAGTAGCGCGAGGCTGTCACCATCCGGAAGGCATCCACCGAGGTTGCAGCCTTCTCACAAACCACATTCTTCCCAATACCTGACAATAAAACACAACAGGAAATGTCAAAGTCCCAAGGGGTTTACACTGGGAAAATACACTGTATTTCTTAAAGACAGATGAATGCAGGAAAGCCTCCTGTGAGATTGGATGGTGGCCTGGGACAAGAGGAAAGGTGACTCCAGCTTGGATAAAAATGGTACCTGGAGACTGGGACTGTAGAGGTATAGGCTGGAGAAAGAAGAGTAAGTTCTTAAGGGAAAATGAAAGGAGCAGAGGCAAAAAGCACAAGCCAGGAATGGGAACTTACCTGGTGGTGCAATGATAATTTTATGTCAACTTGGCTTGGCTATGGTGTCCATCAAATACCTCTAGACACTGCTGGGAAGGGATTTTTTAAAAGATGTGATTGACATTTAAACCCAGACTTTGACTAGAGTAGATTACCTTCCGTAATGTGGGTGGGTCTCACCCAGTCTGTGGAAGGACTTAAGAAAGCTCCCTGAAGATGAAGGAGTTCTGCCCCCAGACTGCCTTCAGGCTCAAGTGTGCAACATCAACTCTTGCTGGAATTTCAATACTGTTGTTCTGCCCTGTGGGTTTCAGATTTGTCACCTACAATCACATGAGCCCATTTCTCAAAATAAATCTCTCTCTCTCCATCCTTCTTACTGGTTCTGCTTCTTTGGAGAACAGTGCCTGATACAAGTGGTCTGCAGAGGTAGACATGCTTCTCGGCCATGCCTACATGCCTTTTATGCATTTACCAGGTCACCAGCTTGGGGCAAGAGAATCTATGTTCTGGACGATGGACACTGCACGCTCAGGCATACCTGCAGAAAGGGCTCTCAGATTCCCCACAGACTAGACTGTTCTTGGAAACCCTGGCTCGGTAAGTTAGTCATAAGGCCAGAAAGTACTTGGCCCCAATAGGAGGGGAAAGGGAGTGAAAACATCCTTTCTGCCCTCACACCCACTGAGTCCACTGCAGCTGGAAGGCATGGAGCAAAACAAAGCTACACAAAACCCAATGAGAGAGTCCGAGGACTGAGCAGCTTACTTCCACATGAGGAAATGGAGAAGATCAACATTCCTCCATGTTTTAAAATGAAAGTATATGAGGATATGAGCAGCCATAAGCCACCAACACCTGAGGTACTCCTGCGAGCTTGGGGTGGTTCCGGTTATAAAGTAGTCTAATACCCTCCAATAAAAAAAACTTACAAAGCCCAAGAACTGGTATGGACTAGATACACACACAGGTACAGATGGCAGGATTAGAGAAGCCTTCACAGGGGAGTGATGTTCCAGGGAGTCCAAGGGGGAAAGGCCATCGGACAGAGGGAACTGCATGTGCAAAGGCACTGAGGTAGGAAAGGCTGAAGCGCTGAGCCAGAAATTAAGCTGGAGGGGTTACACAGGGGCTACCAGTAATGTGAGAAATGAGATAGTTGGTAGACATTCAAGGTGAAAAAGGGGTAAGTTTGGGGTGAAATCCAAAACTGAGCTCTTGATACTCCCCTCCCCGGGTCTTCCCTAGCTCAGGGACAACTCCATTCACCCAGTCTCTCAAGCCAAAACCACCAGAGTCACCTCTCACATCCACTTTCAACCATCAGTGAATCTTTTTTTTTTTAATGGGAGAGGGGGGGGGGGAAAGCGGCGGTGCGTCGGGCCTAGACGCGTTGTTGGTTCGCAGGCCCGCACTGACAGTGAATCTTGCTCACTCAGCCTTCAAACTGTGTGCAGAATCTGACCAGTTCGCACCACCACCATCGCCACCTTCCTCACCCAAGTCACTCGTTTTTGCCAGGGTTATTTTGATGGTAACTTAACTGGTCCTCCTCAGTTTCTTCTCAACAAAGCAGCCCAGGCAATACTCAAAACTTGAGATGGATCAGATCATACCTCTGCTTTGCATGAACCCCTCTGAATTGGCCAAAGTCCTTACAGTGGCCTATGCAGTGAAGGACACATAGGCTTTCTTCACTCCTCCGAAATCTACTTTTTGATCTCTTTGCCTACTGTCATCCCTGCCTGGCTCATACTGTTCTAGCCACTGAATGTAAGATGGGAGCTGCAGTGCACAAAGGCCTGGCAGATGTAGAGAGGCAATGATCACTAAACAGAGAACGGACAGGCAGGGCCAGGCCTGTCCATGTGGTCAGCACACAGCATCTCGGGCCAGCCTATCACGTGTGCTTATTCTCCTTGTTGAAGACCTTCTTGAACAATGTGCACATTTAGGTTTCTACCCTTAAGGCCCTGCAAGCTCCACCCTCACACTCCACAGGCATTTCCTGGATGGAGGGGCAGGTGTCCAGCATGGAAGCCTGTGTCGCAAGGCAACCAGGTTAAGATCGTGCCTTCTCTGGGTATGTGCATCCCCAATAACCCTGGTGTTCATTCCCTTGGTCCCTGGAAATTTCCTGAGTGTTTTCAGTGGGATAATGACTGGGACCCAGATATTTCTGGTGGCCCAGTGCAGGGTGCAGCTTCCCCTGACTCCATTCGAACAGGCTCAGGAGGGGGATTCAGCTGGCCACTTTGCAACAGAAACAATGGCCAACTATAGGCCATACAACCTGCAATATAAAAATAAGAAAACAATGACTGCTGTCCCACATGGACAGCTGATGACCCAGGTAAGATCATTAACTGGTGCTGAACTCAAGCTCTGAGGCCAGGCGTTTCTGTTCAAATGCTGGTTCTTTTGCTTCACTGCTAAATAATCTGAAAAATTTCTGAACCTCTCGGGGCCTTGGTTTACTACACTGCACTATGAAACTGGAGGCATATCCACCTCGCAGAGTAAAGAAGACTGGATTAAATGAGAGAGTAATTGTGACATGCCTGCCCTGGCACAGCTGTCAACGGTATATTTTACCGCCATCACCACGGGAGAGGAGACCCAGCAGAAGTCCTAAATGCAGAAGGGCCCATAGTGACTTAAATTTTAAGACTCACATGGGGCTACATTTTCCAGGCCAATAATTTTGGTGTTCAGTATTTTGAAATTTTTGTTTTTTTTAGAAAAGAGGTTTTAAAATCAACATTAACACAGATGCGAATTCATGTTATATGTGCTATTCACCAGACCTCTCTGACACCTGCCCAGCCCTTTGGAGGCCCACACCTAACAAAGCCCACGGGAGATAATTTGGTGCCTCTGGCCAATCCCTCCAAGCTCTCCTCACTTCCTGCCCCCATCCCTGCTACCCTGACCCTCAAGAACCCGGCAGAGCATTGCCAAGTGACTCACGGGGTTCTCAGGCAGAACTCCCAGCGTTGTGAACCCCAGTGCTGTAGCAAGGAGGAAACATGGAGATCAGTAGCCTATCACAATATTAATTCAATCTCTTCCCTCGACAAAACTCTTAAATCTCTCGCTCGTCTCTAAATAATAACAAAAGCTTTATAACAGGTGGTGGCAGGACAACAGGAGACTGGATAGCCAAGTGTCTCACACCCCTGGCAGGGGGCCGAGGCAAGGGGAGAGTTCCTCGCACTGGGGTCTGGCAGGAGGGGCCCAGCAGGGAATGTCACCCGACTGCTACTGCTGTCTGCTTGGAGGTCTCCAGTGCTTCTTTACAGTGGTGGGGCCTCAGGGTGAGGACTGGAGAATCACAGCACGAGGTGAGGGTTTGGCCACTTGGCGGTACAGCACATATGGACCAGGAGAGTAATGAGGGAATCAGGTCCTCAGACACGAACGCCCCACCTGACAGCTGTAGCTCCGGCCAAACCAGAGGCTTCCTGCTATGTAACCATTCATGTGGGTGGCTGGGTGAGCACTGCAGTGTGGGGAGGAGGGGGTGGGCTGGGAGGAAGAGGTCTTTTGTGGCTGCTGAGAGCTTAGAGGTGGAAAAACTAGGATGAGTAATCTCTGTTTCATGCCAGAAGAGGGCAGGGAAGGGGGAGAGACCTTCCTGAGCCTGAACAACAGGAGAGACCCAGGAGAGAACAACAGCTGGGACCCAGCAGTACTATCAGTGTGGGAGCTAAAGGCCATTTTGAGTTAAATGCAGGCCAGCCAGATGGGGTCTATACCTTTAGGAAGACTTGGATTGCCCTGAAGGACTTAAGTTTATCTAGCTTTCCGGCTAGGAAGTCAAAGGAGAGATCAGCAGAGCTGAGAACTGCTTTTTGTCTCCAGGGAACAGGGAAAGCATGGATGCTGAGTGCTTATGAGCGCAGCTCTTTGGTGGGGCGGCCAGTTTCAGGCTGCAAGCCTCTCTCCAGCACGTACTCCCCAGACTACTCAGGAGTGAAGTGCCCTCGAGCACCAAAGGCCTGGAGCAGCTGACTCAGACCACCATTTCATCCCTGGTAACACACCACAGTCCATAGCTCTGGGACCATGACACCAGGGTTTTCCTATTTAGAGGTGTGGGACTAGGTAAAGGATTTCATACACCATGGTAGAGAAGCTGCCCAGGAAAAGCAGGGATACAATACATATTTTTTTTAAACAATAAAGGTTCTGCTACTAGAAAAATAAGTTTGAAAGTGCCAGACTGATTCACTCTTACTCACGGCCTCCTCTCCACCCTTTCCCAGGTTGCAAGCCCACGCTGGCTCCCTGGGTCATGTCAGCAGACTGGGCTTACCTGGGCAGAATTTGTGAATGTCTTCATTTGTCCAGTGTGCTGGGCCCCGTGTCAAATGCTGGGGACACAACATCAGGCATGGTCTCTACCTTCAGATAACTTAACGTTTAGTGGGAGAGACAGCCAGTGACTAAATTATGATATAAATCCACACAGAACTTCACCTGTGATAAGTGCCATGGACATGCTATGAATAATAATACGAAAGCACACAGCAGGAACCTGACCTGGACTGGGGGTCAGGGAAGGCATCTCAAGGGACTGGTGTTCTTGGGATTAAATTATCTGGGTCAGGTTGCTCGAGGGATGATCTCGTTATCACAACAGCCCACGGGAAAGAGTTGGCAAACTTAGTGTTTTTCTAATGAAGCACTTAAGTGCCAAGAACTGGGGACAGAAACTCATCTTTTAGTGACAGAGTTCAGAACACATTCAACCATGTCAAAGATGTTAGGGCACTTTGAACATTAAACTGTATTTTTGAGCTAAGAAATAAAACGTATTGGAGTCCCTCCCTCTCCTTTAAAAAATTTATAGGAAAGATTTAAAGGTAAAATTTGAAGTGGAAGAAATTTTTTTTAAAGGAGAAAGAAATAAAGGTCAAAGAAAAGCAAAATAAGAGGCCACATAAAGAGTCGGGATATGAAAAGTACACCTGTGGAGGGTAAGCCCACGAATTAACTTCAGGAAAAAAAGATAAGAATGAGGGCAAGAAGCAATCCTTACAGCGTCAGAAGACAGGTAAAAACATAATGCTCTGGTCCTGGCTGGTGCAGCTCAGTGGATTAAGCACAGGTCTGTGAACCAGAGAATCGCAGTTCAATTCCCAGTCAAGGCACATGCCTAGGTTGTGGGCCAGATCCCCAGTACGGGGTGCGGTGTGCTAGAGGCAACTACATACTGATATTTCTCTCCTTCCCTTCCCTTCTTTCAAAAAATGAATAAATAAAAAATAATGAATAAAAAAGATTAAGTATCTAAAGCCTAAAGCTTAGACACAGCCCCCGATGACAGGAGAAAAATAAAAAGAGAGACCTATGTGGGAAAAACATAGAAAAAGATACTCTCGTGCATATATAAAGACATTCGCACATGGGAATACACAGCAAGGTGGAATGGCAGTGAGGGTCTTCGGGGGTATGGGCTCTGAAGACTTTTAAATCCACTGTACAGGAAAGCCTGGCTTTCCCTTGTAACATGAGGCTTTCTTGAGTGTCTTTCTTGGTCAGCACTTGGAGGCAGTCATATACAACGGTGGAAAGGCTGAATGACACCCCTATTCACCCCCACGTCACAGGGGCCCACAGAGGTTGGGAGGGACAGAAACAGGACCAGAAGTGCAGTCTGACGTCAGGTCAGTTTGCTGTTCTGGGCACAGCAGTTCATATACTCACACCCAGCCCTCTGGGAAAACTAGGAGTTCTTCTGGCCTCTTCCGTATGTGCTAAAGTCAAGTCAGAATTCTCACTAAAAAAAAAAGTGAAAGCACTCGGAGTGAACTTCGTGGTCACAGTCTCAGCGACTCCTTTAAGGACTGAGGGGGCAGTGCCTGAGGGCAGGTCAAGCTGACATGGGCTCCCCCAGGCCCACCATCTGCTGGGATCATGTACCACCAAGGACGCTCATCCACACCCTCCTCCTCCTGCTGACAACAGAGATAGGGAGGGAAGGCTGACCGCCTGGCTTCACCAAGGGCTGGGATACAAGACCCCAGAAGTTTCCGACATCCCTGTATTTCCTGTTTTTTTTTTTTTTTTTATTTATTGATTTTGAGAGAGGAAGGGATGGATAAATAGAGGGAAACATCGATTTGTTGTTCCACTCAGGTATGCATTCATTGGTCAGTTCTTGTATGTGCCCTGACCAGGGATGGAACCTGCAACTTTGGTGTATCGGGACGATGCTATAACTAACAGAGGAACTTGGCTAGGGCTGTACTTCCTGCTTATAGTAAATGGCCCAAAGTCTAGCACATTCCCATACCAGGAACCTGAAAACAGCAGGCTTGTGGCCAAAGAACCTGGGGTTTCCCCTTTTTCTATACAGCTTGAAATGGTTTCTGTGGGGACCCTAAAATTCAAGAAGACTGAAAGCCTGTGGACATACCTGGTCTCACCAACAAGAAATGGCAAAAAGTCAGGTGACTGTGGTAGCTTGATTCCTCTTGAACCAGCCCTCTGTTAAAGTGCTGACTTAGGTCTACTTCTGAGCTCAATCTGGGAGCCATTATCTGCCCTCCTAAGAATCTGGAGCCAATGAACAGCTCCAGCATCACACATCTTGAGAGAGAGAGAGAGAGAGAGAGAGAGAGAGAGAAAGCTCTCTGGAAAAGAAAGCTCTAAACTAGCCACCTATAATTTTTGGTCAAACCTTACATGCCCCAAATGAACAACCAGAGACTCATGTTCTTGCTCACTTCTATGAACATTTATCCTTCCCCACCCATTGGGCCCAAAGTGACCAGATATTCTCTTATCTTCAGAACAAGAAAGAGCCCTGGCTGGTGTGGCTCAGTGGCCTGAGTGCTGGCCTGAGAACCCAAGGGTTGCCGGTGTGATTCCCAGTCAGGGCACAGGCCTGGGTTGTGAGCTGGGTCCCCAGTGGAAGGGTATATGAGAGGCAGCCGCACATTGATGTTTTCCCTCTCTTTCTCCCTCCTTTTCTCTAAAAATAAATAAAGTCTTAAAAAAAAAAGAACAAGAAAGAAACAAAGAGCCTTGGACCCTCCATCATGGTGGTGGCCAGGAGGCATGGTGGTCAGCTTGGCCTCAGGGCCCTCCAACTGCATTTGAAAGAGACAGGGCTCCTATCAACTTAAAAGCCCAACTATTTTGTCAATTAATTATATGCTACCTGAATTGTTACTTAAGTCTTCTCTCATTTACTTTGTAATGTGTTATTTCTAGGTTCTTCAATTCCACTGTGGAATCTGAAGGTAAGGAGAGCTCTCCAGTCCAACACTGCCCCGAATGTCCAGAACGACAGGGGGACAGAGCCTGGCGCACAGGAGGCACTGAAACTAAACCGCTGGGTGAATGTTTACTGATCTACTTTCCTATTAAATTAGATTCTGGTTTACATAAGGCAAAGAGAAGAATTTTTCTACAATTGACAGGAAGGAGAAGCCTAACAGGAACTGTAGGAAACGGGCTTAGTAAGCTACGCCCAGCCGGGGGCAGGAGACTGCCGAGCGGCCGCTTCCCGAGGGAACAGAGATGAGAGCGGGCTGTCCCGTGGGTCCAGTCGGGGAAGCCCGGTGCTGACAGAGAGCCTTCCTGCCCTCTGGCACACAAGGTCGCGAGTCTGGCAGGAAGGGTGTGTGCTGAAACGAGTCAGGGCCTGACAGAACAAGGGAAACGGCACCCCTGCCACACTCCCTCCTCCCCTTTCTGTGGTGATGCGTGCCACAGGAGTGCGAGAACAAACCTATGGATCACAACCGATTTCCCGGGGTCCCGGTCTTTGAACTCTGACTTCAGAGAGGCAAACTTTTTACACTGCCTAAAATGTCATAAACCCTAGTCACCATGACAGAACAACTCTTAAGGCATCTGCTTACTTTTTGCTGGAGATTTACTTATGGGAGGCAGGGAAGGTGGTCTTCCTCAGCCACTACAGCATCTCCTCCCACAGCAGTGGGACTGCCTGGTGGGTGCTGCCCAGCACTGCCCCAGAGTGCCAGCACCTGCAGGCTCAAGGCCAAGAAGGACCGCCCAGAGGGAGGCACCATCTGCCCATGCTACGGCCTGACTGTCCGTACCTAGAGCCTTCACAGATATTTGCCGGGTGAGTGGAGGGGGGATATTGATGCACACCAGATCCACGTCCTGATGCAGCAAGACTTCATCGGTCCGGCTGGTGTAGAAGGCGATGTTCATCTCCTCGGCAAGCTGTTTCGCCTCTTCCTCAGTCTTGCCCCACAGGGCCTCCACGGTGAACCCTTCTGCCCTTAGCAGGGGGACCAGAACCCGGGCGGAGCTGCCAGTCCCAAACACGCCCACTCCTGGGAGCATCTTCATGCCGGCTTCTCTGTTCACCAACTCATCTCCTCATGAGAGCCTCCAACATGAACATGACCGTCCCACAGTCCTGGTCAAACATGGCTCCTGCAACAGCAAGCAGTACACTGGCTGTTAGTGGAGGGCACCCTCGGGTGAAGTTTTCTGGCTTGTGCAGAATCTACAAGTTCTCTGCCCAAAAGCACAAATGCAACCCTGCTGTGAAATGAAAAGCTGCAGAGCCTTCTCCCAGAGAGACTTAAGGATATTAGCAATATCTTTCTCCTAGAAAAATGAAAACAATGAGTAAAGCTGGGTTCAAATAAATCCCTGTTCTGTCACTTCATTTTCTGTGTGACTCTACTCAACCCATTCTACCTTCAGGGACTTAAGGGTAAAAGTTCATGATTCTGCCCTGGCTGGTATAGCTCAGTGAATTGAGCATGGGCTGCAAACCAAAGGGTCGCCAGTTCAATTCCCAGTCAGGGTACATGCCTGGGTTGCAGGCCAGGTCCCCAGTGGGGGCCATGTGACAGGCAACCACACATTGATGTCTCTCTCCCTCTCTGTCTTCCTTCCCCTCTCTCTAAAAATAAATAAGTTAATCTTAAAAAAAAGTTCATGATTCTACATTATATTACAAAAAAAAGAGCAGGAAACAAAAACCAGTAAAAGATTGAAGAGAACTACCTAGGTGCTATACAGATTATAATTTAAAAATGTATGTTAGCAAGAATAGGAAAATGTTTACTAGAAACAAAAATTAAAAAAATTTTCAACTACCAAACTGGCCACAACAAAAGCAGCAGTGATGTATCAAATAGGATTTTTATACCGTTATTTATGCCAACATTGAATATGGTAGTGAAAATTGGGAAACAACCTAGATGTTTCATAACAGTAGTGGGTTTGCTAGATAACACTGCAGTGCTGCTGAAAGCCATCGAGGGCCCTCGCTGACCTGAAAGGCATCGCTGAGTATTTGTTAAAAGTGGGAAAACAGGGGGGAGGTGGTAGAGGTAGAAGAGAGTATAAGGCGGATAAATGGTGATGGAAAAAAATATAATAAAAATAAACTTCAAAAATGATAGTGGAAATGGGAAAAACAAAACAACATGTGAGGTATGATATCAATTTTTTAAAAAAAGTATAGAAGACATATATACAAAACATATACTGACATGAAAATACAGAGATATCAATAACATATCTACAGACCAGAACACACCAGAATTTCATGATTGCTCAAGCTGAAGGGACTCTAGACGATTTCTATTTCCTATTTTCTGAACTTTGCCAAATTTTCTACAGTGGATATGTTTACTTATTTTTCCTTCTGATCACAAGAGCTATAAAATGAAATAAAGAACGAAGCCAAAGAAAACTCTACTTAGAAACCAAGATGAACTTCAGGTGTGCTCCGAGACTCGGGCTTCCCCGCGGGGCGCCCTCCCTCGGCCAGACCAGGGGTCAGGGGTCCCCACTGGCTGTGTGCTAGGGTCACTGACGAGCCCGGACCCACTGAGTCAAACCGTGGGATGAGGCTGTGGCACCATCACTTTTATTGTCTTTATTATTATTACGTCTGTGTGTGGTAAAATACACAGAAAACTGATCATCTTAACTCAGAAGTGGAATCACTGGATCATGTGGTAAATCAGCTTTTAATTTTTTTTAAAGATTTTATTTATTCATCTTTTAGAGGGGAAGATGAGGAGAGAAGTAGAGAAACATCAGTGTATGGTTGCCTCTCGTGAGTCCCCTGCAGGGAACTGGCCTGCAACCCAGGCATGTGCCCTGACTGGGAATCGAACCGCAATCGTGTGGTTCGCAAACCCGAGCTCAATCCACTGAGCTACACCAGCCAGGGCTCAGCTTTTAATTTTTTTTTTCTTTCTACCCCAACCCCCAGCCCACATGCTTTTAATTTTTTAAGGAACCGCCATACTGTTTTCCACAGGGGTTGTACCATTTTAAATAATAGTTTTATTAGCATTTTACAGTCTTTTATTCCACCAATTATCTTTTAAAAATCTGAATACTTCTGATCTTGGTCACTGCAAGTCCAATAAAAAAAAAAAGACTTTATTTATTTATTTTTTAGAACAGGAGAAGGGAGGGAGAAAGAGGGAAAGAAACAATGATGTGAGAGAAACATCAGCTGGCCGCCTCTCACATGCCCCCAGTGGGGACCTGGCTGGTAACCTAAGGCATGTGCACTGACCGGGAATCGAACTGGTGATCTTCCAGCTGGTGATGCCCAACTCACTGAGCCACACCAGTCAGAGCTGCAAGTCCAATTTTTAAAAGTTTTATCCAAATGGCTCTGCCTGGTGTGGCTCGGTGGATTGAGTGCCAGCCTGTGAACCAAAGGACTGCTGGTTCTACTCCCAGTCAGAGCACAGGCCTGGGTTGCGGGCCAGGTCCCCAGTTGGAGGGGCACAAGACAGCCAACCACACAATGATGTTTCTTTCCCTGTCTTTCTCCCTCCCTTCCTCTCTCTCTAAAAATATAGTGTTCAAAAAAAGTTTTATCCAAATGTATGATTTTGCTATTCTTTTATCCACATGACATTGCTTCCCTTGCCTCTATCGCCACACGTATCAGAGTCAATCTACTTGTCAGTTCCACGGAGACACGGCATTCTTGTTGTAAATGCATCACAATTAACTGAGCATCTTATTCCCAACTGTGAGCACTAGGGCTGTATACAACTTTTCATCACTTCCCTCCCCATCGGTGACATGCTGCCGCCTTTCCGGTCACTTTGGAGTGCCACTTTCGGGCTTCCCTGCTCCTGCCCCAGCTCCTTCATTACTGAGATTCTTGAGGTTCTGTCAGAGGCACCCTCTTTTCTCATCCCACATGCTCTTTACTGCTCAGGTCCAAGGCTTTAGTTGGTATACTGGTGACCTCCAAATCTGCAGCACAAGCCGTTTTCTCTCCAGAGCTTCACACCAAAGTATTCTACTCCCGAATACACACTGCTGTTCTACATGCTCCACAAAACCCACGTGACCTAATCTGAACGGCAGTGGCACAGTGAGACGGCAAGAGCACATGCAGTGAAGTCACTGGAGATACTGGGTTCAGATCCTGGCTTCACTGCTCCTTAGCTAAATGCAACTCTTCTCATGGGTAACGCAGGTCTAATGCTATATAGCTCCCAGAGTCTTTCGAAGATTAAATGAAGTCTAATTTTAAATCAGTAGTAAAGTATCTGGTATATATAGTCAGCATTCAATAAATATTATAAACCTTCCTTCAAACAATTTCTTCCTATATTCTCTCATGGAATGTCATCTTCAACCAAGAAAGCCAGCATCTGCAACCTCCTCCATTGCTCACCCTACAGGCCACTCAACATCAAGTCTGGTTGATCCCAGGTCTTTACTATCTCTCAAGCCCACCCCTTCTTTGTCGTCCTTCCTGCTACCAGCACCACTCACCTGAATGACTGCAACTTGATCTCTCTGGCTGCCAAGGTTTCCTTCCTTCATCCGTTCCTCATATTGGTTCCTCATACTGCGTATGGACCTGGGTTCACATCACTCCCTTCCATTTTAAACCCTTAGTGGCTTCCCACTGGGCTCAGTATGACTTACAAGGCCCAGCAGGACCCACAAACCTCGAGATTAAGTCTAGCTTTGTATAGGCACTCTCAAGGGTTATCTTCCTGAAAGACGAGTTTCCAAAACACACACTAAAGATAACCCAGTAAGAATACTCTGTGAACCAGTTAAAAGTTGGGCATACAGTTACCCGAAATGACAACAATGGCATTCAGAGTAACTGGTGATGAGTGGGTTTCATTTTTTCTGCAAGAATGAAATATGTAGTAGGGAACTGTTGCTTATTGAGATTCTTTCAGATTATATTAACACCATATCCTCTCACAAAAACTTGTACATGAATGCTCATAGAATTATTCATAAACAGCCAAAAAGTGGGAACACTCCAAATGTCCATCAACTGCTAAAAGGATAAACAAAATGTGGTATATCCATATAATGTAGCATTATTCAGCCACAAAAAGTAACGGAAATACTGCTGACTACGATATGGATGAACCTTGAAAACGTTATGCTAAGTGAAAGAAGTTAACCACAGAAGGCCACAGAGTGTATGATTCCATCTGCATGAAGTTTTCACAAAAGGAAAATCCATGGAGACGGTAAATCAGTGACAGGAGATGAGGGAGGGAGAAATCGGGAGATACTGGGACCCAACTTTATTCTTCTGCATTTGTTTATTCGGTTGTTCTAGAGTCATTTATTGAAGAGACTATTTCATCCTCTGGAATGACATTGGCACCTTTTTTGAAAATCAACTGACCATAAATATACAGGTTTGTTTATGGACTCTCAAGTTTACTTCATTGATCTGTATGTCTAGCCTTATGCCAGTACCACCTTTAACTACTGTAGCTTTTTTAAAAAAAGATTTTCTTTCTTCTTGGAGAGAGGGAAAGAGAAGGAGAAAGACAGACAGAGAAACATCTACATGTGGTCACCCCTGGCTTTCATGCCCTACTGGGGACATGGCCTGCAACCCAGCTATGAGCCCCGACTGGGAAAGGAACCAGAGACCCTTTGGTTTGCAGGCTGGCACTCAATACACTGAGCCACACTAGCCAGGGCTAAATTACTTTAGCTTTATAGTAGGTTCTGAAATCAGTAAGTGTGAGTCTTCCAACTTTGGTCTTTTTGGCTATATTGTTTTGGCTATTCTGGGTCCCTTGTATTTTCCTATGAATTTTAAGATCATTTTGTTAATATGGGATTTTGATAGAGATTGCTTTGAATCTGTAGATCAACTTGGGTAAAACTGTCATCTAAATATTGAGTTTCCTGATCCATGAACATAAGATGTCTTCTTTAATTTCTTTCAACAATGTTTTGAAGTTTTCAAAGTATAAATTACACACTTTATCTCTAAGTATAAATTTTGTTTGATGCTATTGTAAACAGCAGTTTTTCTTAATTTCATTTTCAGATCCAGTAGCTTTTTTGCTTCTAAGGTAGATGTAAGTGTACTATGCAAAGTGCATGTGCATGTTGGTGCCAGTGTAGCCCAGCAGAGCGCCCTGTACTGCTAGATCCTACAT